GAGGGGAAGGTTCTGGGAGAGCTGAGGGCAGTGATCAGGATCTAAAAGGCTGTAAGAGAGACAGGGATGGACTCTTCAGCAGTGTGTGTGACAGGACGAGGGGAAGCGGTTTCCTACTAAAAGAGGGAGGGTAGAAGGAAGAAGGTTTTTATGAGAAGGGCGGTGAGGCACTGGCACAGGTTCTGCAGGGATATGTGGGCAGCGGTGCCGTGCCTGGAGACACCCAAGGTCAGGCTAATGGGCTGTGAGCACTGACGAAGCTGTGGGTGTGGGTTCATCGCAGGGGGGTTGGACCAGATGGCCTTTAAAGGTCTCTTCCAACTGAAACTATTCCATGATTCTACAACTTTAATCATGATCAGCCACTGCACCGCGGGATGGTTGGGCTGGAAGGAGCCTTACAGATCACCTTCAGAATCACATCCAAATAAATGGTTTGGGTCAGGGGGACGTTGTCCCTGCTCATCACAGAGGGGGGGACCAGATGGCCTTTAAGGGCCCCTTCCAATCCAGACCACAGATCTGTGATCCCCTGAGGGCCAGTCGCCTCCCCACAGCCCCATTCGGAGTGCCCACTCGCTCCTGCACTGGCTCACACGGACGCCAACCCCTCGCGGTGTCCCTGAGCTGATGGGAGCTCACCTTTTGCTTCGCCTGCTCGCGCCGCTCGCCCGGGAGCTCATTCGGCAGCGTCAGCCTCAGCACCTTCACACTCTCCTGGAACAAGAGGGTGGGATTCGGGTCACGGCCACCCGGAGTGGTTGGGAAGCTGCAGCCCTCAGAACAACACCCAGCTCCAACCGAGCGAGTTATCGCACAGCAGTGACACCCACCCAGCCATTGGAGCTTGGAGGAGCCAAGGAGGAGGAAGTGCAAAAGAGGAGCCACTGGACTCATAACGCGGCCACCGTGCCAGGGACCCTTCCAGAGAGTGGCAAAGCAGCTCAGGTCCTCCTCCTCCCCTACCCTCTCCACACAGCCAGAGCCAGATCGACCCCTTGGAGCTGAGGCGAGGGACCGTGGCCATCAGCAGCTCTGCTAATTGCCCAAACCCTCCCCAGCAGCACAGCCTCCCAGTGTGGGCACTCCAGTGACATTCGGCACAGAGGACACAGAACACCGTAAAGTGGCGCATGACACCCAAACCGCCCCATTTTGGCCCCCAAAACCCATCCCACACTGACCTCACCAACTCCAGGGGCACTCATGCTCCCGGCAACCCCACAGCAGATCGCAGTGCTCTGGGGCTGCTCAGCACCCCACACCCAGCCCCATCGGTGCCTGCCCCACACCACGCCTGGCCACGTCACCCTCGGAGCAGCGCCAAAGGATTGTGCCGCTCCGCTTCCAAGCGCTCTGCACCGCCCAAGTCTCGACAAGCCGTGGGTTTGTTTCCAAAATATTGTGTGTACGCTGCTCTTGCTTTGCCTGGGCTGCTGGGAGAGGAGGTTCCTCCTGCAGGGACCCCTTCGTTCTACCCTGCACAAAGCACTGACTGCTTAACCCCACAACCCCTTCTCCAGGGAAGGTTTTCCTATGGAAGAGACAAGAAGGTCGAAGCGGTTGGAAAAAATGCCAAGTTGGATGTGCAGCTCACACAGCAGCCACAGCACCCACAGCATTCATTTGGTGAGGTCAGAGGAGCGCCCATGGTTTTATAGGGCAGGGAAGCGGCTCACAGCAGCACCTGCATGCAGAACGTCCCGCATCTCTCCATGGACATAGGAAGCAAACAGGAATCACGGAGTCAAGGGGTCACAGCACGGTTGGGTTGGAAGGGACCCCGTAGCTCACAGAATCATGAAATCATAGAACGGCTGGGTCAGAAGGGATCCTGCAGACTAAAGAGCAGTAGGGTCAGAGCGGTTGGTTGGAAGTGACCTCAGAGATCACGGAATCACAGAACTATCCGAGCGAAGCGATTCCGGTAGCCGCCCCACGTGGCCCCACTGGCAGCGTTGTTTACAACCGGAGGATCCCACGCCGTCCCTGGCCCCATAAGCCCACGCGAGGGTGCGGCGCTGCCAACGCTCCAAGGGAATCCCGCTCCCGGGGAAGATGCGCCGCGATAAGCAAGGAGCACAACGCCGATTTCCATCACCGCCTTCAGAGCAGCCGTCAGCATGAGGGTGCTTCTGTCACGATAGAACCCAATTCCGGATGGATCCAGCACTGGGGTGACGCAGATGGGTCGCAGCGAGGAGCCACGGGCAGGCCCTGCAGTCCCAGTGCTGTGTGCCACAGATGGAGTATTGGCTGGGAGTTGTAGGGCTGCTCTGGGAGGAACCTTCTCTGCAGCATTGTAAGTGCTCCAGCACAGCCAATCTCTGCCTGCACTGCTCCTTCCCTACTGCACCGCAGTGTGCGGCACCGCGGAGTCTTCTGGGGACGCCCCTGAGGGGCTGCGAAGCACAAACTCCTCTGTAAGGGGATGTTGGATGTCACGATGCACACTGGAGGTGCTGCTGAGCTCTGGTCCCTGAGCTCCGCCGTGTTCCCACACCAGGATCCTGGGGCTCCGTGCTCACCGCCGTCCCCATGGTGCCTTGGTTTGTGATCAATCCCTGTGGCAGTGGGGGTTACCATCGCCTTGGCTTGGGCTCCAGTAGGAAGCACAGTGCTGCAGGGATGCCCCATGCTGGCTCCAGCGCACAACCCCAGAACAGGAGGGCAGCAGATTTGGGCATTTCCCGCAGGAGGAAGAGTGGTAATGGGGCACCTCGTGCTCAACTCATGCTTGGACAGAACCCAAACCCCATATGGCGCCCGCTCCCCCCTTCGCACCGCGGTTGTCTGATGCTGGCCACGCAGATCCACCGGGACCCAAAGCTCTCCGTAAATCCACACCTCTTGTTTGGGACCAAACACCACAAAAGAGGAGACCCCCTACAAGAGGTCGTTCCATGCAAGAAGCAATTTCCCTATAGATGAAGTCAAGTGATCCTGATGAGGCCAACTCTCCAGAAGACCATTTTTAACCTTTTGGCACTTTTCTCATCCCCAAATTCAACACAACCCCACGGGGCCGATGAACACCGTGAGTCCCATCCCAAGGCTCGGCAGGAACAGGCCAGACCTGACCTAGGGGCCATCACCAGCACTAATTAGCAACGAGCTCCAGAGATGCCCGGTGTGACACAGGCACTTATCACCCTAATAACCCATTAACCAAAAGAGCCCAACGCCGCCGCCGCCGCTCCTTATAAGGCCGGGAGGAGGCTGCGGGAATTGGGGCTGACTCACCCAGTGGGGCCGGGCACGGGGACGCCGCAGTGCCCCAAAAACTGACAGAAAGCCGTGGGGTGAGCGGCGCCCATCGGCCCCACACCAGAGCTTCACCCCGTGCTGGGATGGAGCTGCGGTGTTGGGTCACTGCCAGCCCCACCCGGAGCCCTTCCGCAACTGCCTGCAATGAGGAAAAGTGAGCGATAGGGGAGGGAAAACACGGGTGGTTCTGTAAGCAATGAGTAATCCCAAAACACGAGCCGGGAACGGGGCCTCTCGATGGGAGCACACGGCCACGAGCTTAAAGAATTCAGCACCGATGACCAATGGGGAGGGCTGGGGATCCCCAGGACCCCATAGATCCAATGGGGTGCCAGTGGAATTGCGCAGCTCAGGAGCTGCTCCTCTGTCCCCATCCACTCAGCCTCTTTAGGGGCGCTTTAGGGACACAGGGATACAGGAATGGGAATATGGGAAAGAGAACCATGGAAGTAGGAATGAAGGAAAGGGGATAGAGGGAAGAGACCCAGAGCAGCTCCCAGCCCACCCAGGCCAGGTTCCACTGCCCCACAGCCATGGGGACAAACCTGGACATCCCAAAGCCTCATCCACCCTGAAACGTCATCCCAAAATTCAATCCCATCCCACCTCCCCATCCTACTGCCTTATCCCACCCCACCGCCCTACTGTGTCCCACGACCCCCTGACCCCACCACCACTCCCCAGCGCCGTGGGGAGCCTCAAAGTCAAGGGGAGGACTGAGGGGCTGCCCCGGGAAAGTCCCCGCTCACCGGGCTCTCTCCGTGGGGCCGCACGTCCAGCACTGCGCACCAGCCCCGCATCCCGTTCATGGCCCCGTTCATGGCCCCGACTGCGGCCCCGCGCCGCACACCGCCCCTATATACGGCCACACCCCCTCCTGACCACGCCCCCTCTGCGCGGAGGCCACGCCCACACCGAACCACGCCCCTTCCCCAAAGCACTCCGTATCCGTGATGAGGCCACGCCCCTTCATCCTGACCGCGCCCCCTCACTTGCCACACCTCTTCCAAGCCACGACCCAATCTACGCTAACTCTGCGTTCAAACCACGCCCCCTCCTCGTTGGCCACACCCACGGGGGCATTGGGCTGCGCTGGGGGCGCTGGGTACAAAGCTGTGCCGAACTGGTGCCAAAGCAGAGCCAAGCTGCAGCGTCCTGTGCCGAGCCGTGCCAGGGCAGGTTGTGCCCCACTCATCCCCACCGATGACCCTGGTGTGCAGGCACTCATTGCCACTCGGCAGTGCCGTCAGCTCACTGAGCCCCATCCAGCAGTGAGGCTGCGGGGTCCCACCCGGAGCCTCCTGTGGTGTAAGGAACAACGCCAGGAGCCAAACGGCTCCACTGCACGGTGCAGCGCCGTGCTGCTGGGAAGTGCCAGCCTGGTTGTGCTGCAGTGGGTGCATTTGGGTGCGGGGTCCGAAAAGTGGCACAGGGACAGGATGGGGTCCCCCCGGCCCCACTGCCACCACACTGAGTTCAGGTGGGGAAACTGAGGCAGCGGGGACAGAGGTGGCACTGGGACAGAGGCAGTGCGGCCCGCTGGAGGCCATGGAGGGGAACTGTGGTAACCACTGCCAATCAACACAATGGTGCTAATTAGCACCTGGCACAGCTCCCATTCTCGTTAATTAGTGATAATGAGGATGCACCTTGGAGCAGGACCCAGCCTGGCAGGAGGGAGCCGCATGCCCCCACCCTGCACCCCAGTCCTGCACTGCCGCCATGGGCTCTGCTGGTGTTGGCATGGTCCATTTTATTGAAAACAGCACTTTGAGAGGGAAAAGAGCGGTGAGGAATGAGGGAGATGATTGCATATAAAAATAAATTGGAGCTGAGGGGTGGTGGCATTCCCTGGGGACCACAGACTCCATCCTCACAGCCACCAACCCTGGGTCCCCCAGGGGCAAAAAGCCACGCAGGAGAAGAGGGCCGACAGCCGACGCCAGCGGGGCGGAGGTCTCTGAGCAGTTCCCACAGCCCTGGGGGTTCCATGGGGCTCAGCAGGAGCTGGTCTGCAGGTTGGCCTCGTTGAGCAGCGAGGCGATGGAGGAGGGCCCATAGGCGCCATCGAGGTCTTCATCGGAACTCAGCGCGTCGTCCTGCAGCGAGGAGTCGGCGGCCGCGCGGGCAGCTCTGCGCCTGGGGAAGGAGCAGGGGGCTGAGCGTGGAGCACGGAGGGATGGAGCTGGGGGCCAAGCCTTGGCGGGGCTGTGGGGCACGGCCAGGGCATGAGGCCCATCCATGGGGCAATGGAGCGTGGTGAGGCTGGGGGGCAGCCTCTCTCCCTACCAGGCCTCCTTCTCCAGCGCCTTGATGCGGCCCTGCAGCTGCTCGTTGAGCTCCTGCTGCTCCTCCAGCTCACGCTGCGCCTTCTTGCGGGCAGCCTCCAGCCGCTCGATCTCCTCCTCGGCTTCATCCACCTGCCGCTTCAGCGCCTTCACACGCAGGCTCAGCTGTGGGGACGTGGCCATTGATCGCCACAAACCCCCGGGTGTGGGGCCACCGCCACGCGGTGGTGCGACAACAGGGCCACCAACCCACGGCCAGAAGTGGCTGCGTGCCCACCGCCCACCTGGTCCTTCTGGTCGTTGACGTGCTGCCGCTCGTCGTCGATCTGGATGGTCAGCTCCTTCACCTTGCGCTCCAGCTTGCGGTTGGAGGAGTGGAGGACGCTCTTCTCCCTGCCGGGAGGTGTGGGATGCAGTGAGGACCTGATGGTACGGCTGGCCCACGGTGGCGGTGGGGACAACGAGGCCACTACCTCTCCTCGGCCTGCAGCCGGTCCTGCAGCTCCTCCAGGCGCGCCTCCAGCTGTGAGATGGAGCCGCCCGCCTTCTGCATGCCCTCGGAGCTGGCCAGGCGGCTCTTCAGCTCTTTGTTCTGGGGAGAAGGGGACATGGAGGCCACCGGAAGCACCAGGTCAATGCGAGCCTTGGCCACCGGGTCAGCTGAAGCCCAGCCTCAGCCACCAAGTCAACACCAGCCTCTGGGGAGGATGGCACGGTGCTGGTGGAGATCCCAGCCCAGAAGCCTCTCCCAAGGAGTGGCCGCAATGAGGATGGTTATACAGCGGCAATTATCCACGCAGAGGGACGTGGGCACGGGGAGGTGCCCAGGGCGCAGCGTAATGGCGCAGCGTGGAGCTCAGTGCCCATCACCTCTGCGTTCCCATCACTCGGGGCATGGAAGGATGAGGGATGCGGTCCCCAGTGCCCACCTGGCGCTCCAGTGAGACCTTGTCACACTCCAGGTCCTGGCGGCTCGAGCGCTCCTGCAGCAGCTCAGCACGCAGCTGGTCAATCTGGGGATGGGGATGTTGGCCACAGCCTCGGTCACAGCAGCGCCGGTCCCAACCCTTTCCCACTGGTCACACATCCCAACGAGCGGCTGCTGGCTCCCTCCCCAATTAGCTGTCCTCCTTCTATTCCTAACAAGCAGCTGCCACGCCTCCCGCCCCTGGGTGTGCAGGCTGCAATTCTCCACTGGAGGGTTGAACTGGTTGGACTGGGAGTAGGGACCTTTGGGCACCGTGGTGCAGCCGAGCTTGAGGCCAAAATGGATTTGGTGCACCAATGGATCAAACCCAGTGCCCCAGGGCTCAGTCAGAGCCAACCGTACTGCTTTGGGTGCTATTTTGAAGTCGTGGGAATGGGATTTTGTGCAGCATTGTCTAAATGATAAGTCAACAGCCCCGAAAAAATCACACGGTGACTCTGTCAGAGCCAAGCTCCAGTTTCACTGCCACCTACACACTGCATTGCTCAATTTGGACAAATTGAGGACACGTGGAGCAAAGCTCCGCTGGGATGTGTCCGGTTTGGGGATGAGAAATAGGAAACCCACCCAAATCACCCACCCCGCTCCCCAACCCCCAGCCCCACAAGGTGCCCCTGGGGCCCGGAGAGCCCCTACAGGTGATGGGGCCATCCATCGGCCAAGCCAATACTGCAGTGTTGAGAGGTTTGGCCACGGCCTTGGTCACTGTCATCACTCATCAAGCTCTGCTGAGATGTGCTTCTTTTGGGGATGAAAAATGGGATAACCCACCCCAAAGCCCAGCCCCAGGGGGCTAGATTGCCCCTGTGTACCCCACGGAGCTGCAAGCAATGGGGCCGCAGCTCGCGCAACCCATCGGCAACGCCAGCGCCACCCGTGCCACAGCTCCTGCGTCAGCTCCGGCTTTGAAGCTAATGAGCAGTTGGGTTAATTAGGAGCTGACAGCTCCAACTTCCTGCACAAACACCAACCTCCCCCCATAATTTGGGGCATTGTTTTTGCATCACGCTCACGGGATTTCCGCTGGCCGCCCCACCTGGTCACGGCTGCGGTTGACGCGCTCGGTCAGCAGCTCGGCCGTGCTTCGCTCCTCCTCCAGCTCCTCCTCCAGGCGCTTGGACTTCTCCTGCGGGCACACGGAGGGTCAGTGCCGGCCCCACAGCATTGGGACGGCAGCGGGGTGGTGGGAGAAGGGCTCTTCACCACTATTTGTGGGGTTTCATTGCACAGGGCTGGAAATATGGGTGCAGTCCCACGGCACCGCAGCCCCGTGCAGCTGCAGGATGGCTGAGCACGCTCTGCCCCTCGCTGTCAGTGCTCAGCACTGCAGGGAGCAGGTGCAGGTGTGGGTTTGGGTGCCTTTTTGGATGCTTTTTGGGCACCAGAGACCCATTGGTTTTGGGGTGCCAAAAATTGGCTTTTGTGTGCCAGGAGCTGGTTTTGGGGTGCTGTGACCCCAAGTTTTGGGCACCATTGATTTTTCAGGTGCCCCAACCTTCATTTTAGACACTTCGACTCAATATTTTGGGTGCCTAACCCCCATTTTCAGGCAATCAGACCCCGGATTTTGGGTGCCCCGACCCAGTGTTTGGGAAACTATGACCCCTTTGGTTTTTAGTTACCCCAACCCCAGGATTTTGGATCCAACAACCCACTCTTTGGGCACCACCACCCCTGGATTTTTGGTTACCCGTGACCTCAGATTGCAGGTGCCTCAGCCTCACTCTGTGTGTGCCAACAGCCCATTTTCCAGGTGCCCCAACCCACCTCCAGCGCCTTGAGCTGCCGCGAGCGATCGTCCTGGGAGCGCCTCTTGGCATCCACCTCCTCCTCGAGGCCACGCAGGCGCTGCAGCATCACATCCCGCTCCAGCAGCGCGCCGTCCCGCTCCGCCTGGCTGTCCTGCAGCGCCTGCTTCAGCCTGGTGACCTGGGGACAGAGGTGAGATGCGGTGTGGGGACAGCAGCCTCACAGCAGCCTCACTGTGGCCCACCTGGGCCACAGTTACGCTGTGGCCACCAGTCCCTGCTGTACCTCGTCCTGCAGCCGTCCCACGCTGAACTGCATCTTCTCCATCTCGGCACCGCAGTCCTTGGCTTGTTTTTGGGAATCAGTGATCTCCTTGCGGGATTTCTCCTTGCATTCCTCCAGCTGAGCCTTGAGTGCAGCCAGTGAGCGGTTGGACTCCTCTGTCATCTGCTCCAGCTGTGGGAGAGCAATGGGACCACAGGTGGGAAAAGAGGCATGAGGCTGGGGGGACACTGCTGCTCACGGCACTGGCAGGAGCCCACGGGATGGGAGCTGGGAGACATTGGGACACTGCAAGTGCACCAAAGCAAAGGACAGTGTGACCCTGGATGCAGACCGAAGGGGACAGCGTGGATTTAGGGAGTGTGAGCACAAACAGGGACATCCCAGCATAACGGGGAAGGATCAGACCAATGGGATGAGCACATCCAAACAGTGGGGCAGAGTCCTGCAGTGCTGCACCCTGCCCTACCCTGGCCAGGGCACCTCAGAGACCAGCGAGACATGGGACACTTCACTTGGAGGAGATCCAAGAGGACCACCACCCTCTGAGACCTCCCAGTGGGACGGGGCTGTGGGTTGTGGGATGGAAGAGCTCCATGAGGACCACTGCCCTGTACCCACACCCCATGGAGGGGTGACAGAGCACTGAGGCGCAGACGCTCCCCACCTCTCTGTTCAGTTTCTCGGTGCTGCGGTCCAGCAGCCGCTTCTGCTCCTCCAGCTCGCTCTTGGCACGCTTCAGCTGCTCCTTCTGCCTCTGCTCGTCCTGGAGGGACGCGCTCAGCTCCTGCTGCTCCTGTGCCAGCCGTGCCATCCCCCTCTGCGCCTCATCCAGACGCATCTCCAGCGCCCGCTGCGCCCGCAGCAGCTCCTGCTCACGGTCTGTAGCTTCGCCCAACGACTCTTCTGCGCGTCTGCGCTCTGCCTGGGAGGGAGAGAGGATGGCACCAGGGGACAGCACTCTCCCCACGACTCCCACTACCCCCAGTGTCCCCCTGGTGCCATCTGCTTCTGCTGTGATCTCATGTCCCCAAACATCCCCCAGATGTCCCAAAGTTCCCCAACATTTCCCACATCTCCCAGTGCCCCCAGTGCTCCCACTGTCCCTCTGTGCCACCTCCATTCCTCCAAGTCCTCGCATTCCCAATATGACCTCATCTCCCCAAACCCCATGTCCTTCCTGGACCCACAGCCACAGTACCTCTAATTTGGTGACCTTCTCACGGAGCCGTGCCTGGGAGCCCTCCCAGTTTTCCCCCATGCGCTCATAGTCCTTCAGCTGCGTCTCCATGCCCTGCACCTTCCTCTGCAGCTCCTCGTGCTGCTCCTGCAGCTTCCGTAGTGCCGCCTCCGCTGCCTCCCTCTCACCCTCCAGGGAAACTTTCGCCTGCAACGCAGCCACACAACAGGATGGGCCACCTGGCCCCACGACCACCAGTCCAGCCCAGGAGATGTGGTGTGAAACTGGGGCCCCATTGCAGCAGCGTGGTGAGATTGCTCCTCGGCTCACGGCTGGGCAGCACTGAGCCCTTCCCCATCGCACCCCAGTCTCATTCAGTCTCCATCCTCTTCACTCCAATGCCATCACCGTCCCCATCCCCCCCTCACCCTCACAGCCTCGTCCCTCTCCTCCCGCAGCCGTTCCATGTCACGGTGGCACTGCTCCATGGCTCCGCTGTGGCTCTGGGCCTCATCCCGCACAGTGCTGCGCAGCGCCTGCAGCTCCTTTTCCCGCTGCCTCACCACCTCCTCCTGCTGCTTCTTCTCCTCCGCCAGCTCCCGCTGTGCCTCCCGCACCCGGCGCAGCTCCTGGGTATGGGATGGGCTCAGAGACCCCGACAGAGCACACACGGTACCCAGATCCCCCCTTGGCTACGCACCGTGCGCAGCGCTTCCACCTCTCCGGGGTCAACTGCGCTGCTCCGCGCCCTCTCCACCTCCTCCCGCGTGGCCGTGAAGCGCTCACGCAGCTCCCGCAGCTCCTCCTCGAACTCCTCCCGCTCCATCTTCACCTGCAGCAGTCTGGTAATGGGAGTATGGGATGGAGGGGTCTGGCAACCCACTCAGCCCCAAGCGCACGCCCTGATTTGCCGGGACGCACTCCTGCTTGGCAGCACGCAGCTCATCCTTGTTCCGCTGGAACATCTCCCTCCAGTGCCCCGTCTCCTCGGCACTCTCCTCCAGTTCACGCTGGAGGTTTCGCACCACCACACCGATTTTCTGCTTCTCCGACTCCAGGTCGGCCCGATTCTGGGGAACAGGGGGGAACATTTGGAGTGGGTGTCCTTGGGGGATGCTGAGCCCCTGCGCAGTGGTGCACTGCCCAGTGATGCTCCAAGGATGCTCTGGAGATGCTCAGACCCTGCCCGGGGATGTTCTGCCAGGGTTCTCCAGGGATGCTCTCAAGGATGCTCAGGCTCTGCCTAGGCATTCTCTGCCCTGAGGATGCTCAGACTGTGCCCAGGGAATGCTCTGGGAACGTTGAGGCTCTGTCTGGTTTAACCCCACACAAAGCAGCCCCCCAGGAAGTGACCCAAGGACGCAGGGGTCCCCTCAGCACCGGGCAACACCGATTGCTCTAGGCTCCTCCAAGGATGGAGCACGGAGAGACGGGGCAGGACACAGAGCCTCGGGTCCCAAACACAGAGCCCTCACCTGCGAGATGTCCTCCACGCTGCGCCGGAGCTGCTCCATGTCGCTGTGGCACTGCAGCCGCACGCGCTCCAGCTCGCGGTCGTGGTTGGCCACCTCTTCCTTCAGAGCCCCTTTCAGCGCCGTCAGCTCCCGTTCCCGCTGCCGCAGATGCTCCTCCAACCGCTGCCGGGAGCTCAGGGCCTCTTCCAGCTCCTCACGGGCCTCGTCCAGCTCCTGGAACACAGAGGTCGCTGTGGTTGGTGGCACAGTGAAGGATGGCTGTGGAGCGGTGCACGTGGCCATACCTTGTACAGAGCGTCTGCGTCCACCGCCGTGCCCATATCCGTGCGCACTGCTTTCAGCTGCTCCTCTGCTCGCGTCTGTGCTGCCTTTGCCTCCCCGAGCCTGTGGGCACAGCAGCCCTGAGACCCCGCAACACACAGCAGAGTCCTCAGACCCCCCGATGGAGAGGGAAATCCAGACCACATCCACAGCTCAAGGGATGATGAGCTCCACACCACTGGATGAGGACAGTGCGGGGGGCCCACCACCCAGCACAGTGCTGCAGGAACACGACCCCATGCAGCCCTTACTCCTTGGTGCTCCTCTGCAGCTCCTGCATTCTCTTCTCCAGCGCTGCCCGCAGCCGTGCACTCTCCTCCTGTGCCTCCTCCAGCGCCCGCGTGGTGCTACGCTCCTTGGTCAGCTCCAGCTTTTGGCGGAGCTGCATGGGGGGGATGGTGGTGACAATGGCAGCCTTACCCAAGGGACACCCACCTCCACCCAGTGGCCTCACCTTGCTCTCCTCGTCCAACCTTTCCTGCAGCTCCTCCACCCTCTGGGCCAACGCGTGGTGCTGGGGCTGGGAGCACGCCTTCCCCTTGGTGGGTGCCTGGGGACACCGCTGGCTCAGTGCCACCCCCTGCATCCCAGAACCTCAACCCTGCCCTTAACCCACTCACCGCCGCCTCCTGCAGCTTCTCCAGCACCAGTGCAGCCTTCCTCTTCAGCATTGTGCCGCTGTCCCTGCTCCTGGGGACACCATGGCAGAGGGAACGCATTGGGTGTGGGATGGAGCAGGATGGGCACAAGGAAGGGCACCCCAAGCACTTCACTGCGGTCATTCCCCAAATCCTCGGCACTCAACCATGTGGCACCAACTGCTGTGTTCCCAACCCACTGATACCCAACCACACAGCATCGCCATTCCCAGCCGCCCTGCAACGTGGCACAGCCACACCCAGGTCTGGAGACGCTCACCCCTCCTTCAGGATCCCATAGATGAGCTCTTTGGGGTCCTCACTGCTGCTGGGCTGGGCCACCTCCTGCTGGTCCCGCAGCAGATCCGGCGTTGACTTCAGCTGCCAGCGGGATGGAGATCTCAGCACTGGGCACCAATCCCACACTGGAGTTCCACTCCCACCCCACGGCCATGGGACACCGAGCGCCGTCACCGCCGCCCAACACCTCCTGTACCTGCAGCTCTGTCTGGGCTTTGCTCTGCGGCCGCTCCTCAGTGCCACGATTCACCGTTCCACCTCTGCCTGCCCCGGTGGGCAACGGGGACGGGGCGCCCACAGTGCGGCCATCAGGAACGGAGCTGCGGGCGTCCAGGCTCTGCGAGCGCTTCCTCTCCTCCGGGGCCACACGGGATCGCCGCGCCGCACGGCCGCGCTGCGGCACTTTGCCATCAAATTTACTGATGAGCGAATTCACCGAGGAGAGCGGCTCGGTGTCGATGTCACCACCTGCGTGCCGCGACCCTGGGCTCTCCGAGTCTGAGGAGGGCGCGACCCCAATCCCAGAGCCTTTGCGGTGTGTGGGGTGGGCAATGCTCAGCGTGCTGCTGCTCCTGGAGCCGGTGGCCATGGGCTCATCGGCAGCAGCCAGCAGATTGCTATGGGACTGCGTCCGGCGCAGCTCGGCCCCCATCTTGCTACGGGGTTTGTGCCGGGTGGGCACCGGGGCAGCACCGTTCTCTTCATCCGACACGCTGTGGGAAGGCTGTGGGCGCACATAGGGGTTCTCAGGGAGGTCCGGCTCAGGGGGCAGTTCTGGGGGCCGAGGGCTGGTGGTCCCTGCAGGGTAGGAGCCGTCGCTTTTGATCTGCACCCCGAAGGAATCTCCACCCTTATCACCGCTGTTGAGGACGACGAAGGGCTGCCCCGCGATGCCCTGCACGCGCACAGCCACCCCGTAGGAGCCCGGCTTGGCGCGCGCCTTCGGGGCCTTCTTGGGCTCCTGGAGGTCATTGATGAAGCGGATCTGGACACCATAATCCACCGGGCTCTGCTTCTCCGCCGTGCGCTCCATGCCGGGTGCGGTGCTGCTGTTCTGGGGAGAGGGCAGAGTCACAGTGGGACCCACAGTCTGCACTCCCCAGTGCTGGGGGGATGCGGCTCCGTATGGCTGACATGGCCCCATAGGACAAATGTGGCCCCATAGTGGGAATGCAGCCTCACAGGGACAGGCATGGCCCCATAGGGTGCACACAGACTCACAGCAGGGAGACTGCATCACAGAGCGCACACGGTCCCACAAGGCAGATGTAGACCCATGGGGTTGATGCTGCCCCATTAGACAGACATGGCCCTGCAGTGCAGATGCGGGGATGCGACCCCATCTGCTGTGGACCTGGTGGCACTGCTCCCACGCACAGCACAGCCCCCGATCCCACTGTGATTACAGCACAGACAGAGCCCTTTCCTCAGATCGAGCCAACAGTGAAACACTCACAGAAAGCACCGGTGGGCCGCCAGCCCCACACAGCACCACAGCCCCACGCAGCTCTGATCCCACAGGACCGGACCGACCCCACAGCCCAGTGCAGTGCTGACACCCGGCACTCACCAACATCCTCCACTCGACCTCCGTCACCGCCGAACCGCAGACACCACAGCGCCGGGAGCTCTGGCAGGACTGATGCAGAGCGACAGCAGAGCCCCGGGCAGCCCCGGCCCCACAGCGCTGTGCTCCTCCACCGCTGCCTCCGGGGCCGGCAGCTCTGTGCGCTGCCCAAAATAACTGCACTGCGAGCGGCACCGCAGGCACCGCACGCTCAGCACACGGCCATGGGATGGTGGCACAGAGCCGGGGTCACCACGTCCCGCACGTAGGGAGAAAGGGAGAACGGCACCAAAATCTCACGTTTCCAGCTTTCGGTCCCGATGTCACCCCAGTGCAGCCCCCACATCCATCCCCGTGCCCACCCCAAAGCCTCAGCTCCGGGCACACTGCAGAGGACAAATGGCCACAGGGACCCCACGGTGCCAGCGCTGAGGTTTTGCTGAACCCAACACATGGCAGAGGGTCGGTGCCAAGCTCAGCCGCAGCAGGGAACCAGCACTGAGCAGACGGTGGAGGTGGCAGCACCTGGCACCCAGCAGGGCAGCCATGGGGATGTGGGCCACTGCCATGAGCTTGTTGTCCCCATATGGCATCACAGGAACGAGATTGGCACCAGATCCCAAATGTCCTCATGGTCACCCTGCAGTCACCCTATGGTCAAGTTATGGCCACCCCACAGTCATGGTTTTCCCATGAACACTGTGTCCCTATGGTCAACCACAGCACCATTTCCCTGTGGCCAATCCTATGGGTCCCCCACAGTCATGCTATCCCCATGGCCACCCCATTGCCACCCTATGGGTGCAGCAGTAAGGATGGATTCTTTTCCTCCATGGGTACGCAGTGGGTCCAGCCCCACAGCTTGAGCCAGGAGCAGGTGAGCACTAATCCCCGGGAATGCCCCGTCCTGGCTGGGCTCCAGCACTCAGATAAAGGGGAACAGACTGCATTCCAACACGGGAACGCAGCGCTGATCCCACAGCAGCACACAGCCCCCAGGAGGGGATCGCAGTGCAAACGAGGGTGACGAAAAGGGGGACCCCATTTGTTGTCCCTGGGGGCACTTTGCCCACAGAGCCTGACGGCACCCAGCTCTGCCCGTTGGGTCCCTGCGGCCGCGTGTGGCAGGCGGCCAACTCTGCTCATGCAGATATGGAGCACAAAGGGCCCTTTGTGGGCACCGCAGCCCACAGAGCTGTTGTGCAACGGGCGGGCAGCGCCGGGAGGGGAGGGGAAAGCCATCGGCACCGCACGTCCCAGCCCGAGGCACGGGAACGGGGACAGCGGGATCCGAGCACAAAAATCTCGCTTTTTCCGCCCGTTTCCTGCGCTTCAGGCTCTCTGCACCACAGGCTCTGCTCCACCTGCAGCACCGATTGCTCAATAGGTACAAAGTCTGCACGGTTCTGCGTGCTGGCAGCGCCCTGCCCGCAACCAGACCGACACCAGGGCTGTGCAAGGATCCGAAACCCGAAACCAGGAGCGCGTCACGGGGCTGCGTCCGCCCCACACCCCAGGGACGTCACCTCAGGTTAATCATCAACCGGGCACCGATGGCCCCGTCCCACTCCCTGCCCCGCTGCGGCGGGCACGCAGCCCTAAAACCCAACAGTTGTTGAGGAAAGCCGTCCTGGAATGAATGGCTGCCAGTGGGTCACAACCCAGTGCTCCACGACAAACCCCAACAGTCCACACGTGCGGCCAACCCCAATGGCCAATCCCAGTGGTCAACGCCGTGGTCCACAGAAGTGGCCAAACCCAACAGCCACCCCAACAGCCAACCCAATGGCCAACCCTAGAGGTCAGATCTATGTCTATGGGGTTGGGACTAAAAGGCACACGCTCTATGGGATCACTGCAAGAAAAGGAGGTACTATGGGATAGACATCTATGGAGTCAGGGCTGGAAGCCACGTTCTGAATGGGATTACTGCCTACAGGAGCAGGGCTGGAAAACGTGCTGTCTGTAGGATCATTATCTATGGGATCTAAGCTGGAAATCACATTGTCTATGGCATTGATCCCTTATCTATGGGATCCAAGTTGGAAGCTGTGCTTTCTGTGGGATTGTTATCTATGGGATCGGGCCTGGAAGCAGCACTTTAAATGGGATCATGTCTAAGGGATCAGGATCCTTATCTATGGGATCCAAGCTGGAAGCCCCGCTATCTATGGAATCGTTATCTATGGGATCCTTATCTATGGGATCCAAGCTGGAAGCCGCACTCCAAACCAGCCTGACTGGTCAGGGTGGTGGGGAGCAAACCCAGCCCAGAGCAATCCGCACGCTCCGAACAAAGGGTTGGAACAACGGGCACGGAGCACAGGGACGGGTCACCCCGGGGACAGCTGAGCTGGGCAGCCCTGCCCCGCACTGCAGGGATGGAGGCAGCGCCAAGCAGTATTTAGGGCTCCATGGGCACCAGCAGCACTGGGGCGGATCAGGGCAGGCTATTGCATCCCACCACACACACGTTTGGCATTTCTCTCCCACCGAAGCTGAGTGCCGGGCGAAGTAGGGCAGCATTAAAGATGCAGGAGGTGCCGCGTTACGCCGCCCGCAGCCGGGAAGGGTCGGCCGCAGTGACGCCGCGAGGTCCTGGAACAACTGTGGGATGAGGCAGGATGGGGCTCAGCCTTGGGCAGCTCCAAAACAATTATCTCGGTCCTAACAAGGTCTGGAGGGAACGGACCCACAGTCCCAGAAGTGCTTGGGGTGGGAGGAGCAGGGCTGGGACATGGCTCTTATCAGCAGAGATAAGGACGGAGCCACAAAGGCCGCATGGAATTTACGAGCAGAGCAGCCCTGAAAGGGACAGGAATGGGATCTGTGGGGCTCTGGGGCCCTACAGAGCAGTGCCTGTCGGAACATCACAGTGGGGCTCTGTGGGAGGGGGACGGCACCGCCTGTAGAGAGGTTCATGGGGACCCAAAGAGTCTGTAAGGAAATGCAGATCTCCTATGAAAGGGGCAGAGTACCTACAGGGGCAGGGAGGGGGCTATAAGGGGGTCCCTGAGGGATCCTACAGATGGAGGAGGAAGACCCAAAGCAGAGCAGAACCTTTACTGGGGGGCATCCTACAGGATGCGCTGTGGAGCACATCGCACTCCAGAACAAGGACTTTTGGGGAGTTCTGTGGGGCAGAGCATCTCCCAGCAGAGTCAGCCACTATGGGATCTGTAAGGGAACCCTATGGGGACTGTAGTGTCAAGCAACCCCTATGCAGCCCCAGCGTGACCTGCTGCAGGGCTCCATCCCTATAAGCTCTGCCGTGGGGAAGGGCATGGCCCAGGAAGGGCAGCCCTGCAGCCCAGCCCTATAGGCAGTGCCACAGGGCACAGCACACCCAGAAAGGACAACACCAGCAGGCGCAGCCCTATGGGCTCTGCCATGGGGCAGGACAAGCTCCAAGGGCAGCAGCCCTATGAACCCAGCCCTATATTCTCTACCATGGAGCAGGACGGGATTCACAGCCCCCAGCCCCATTGGGTTCTGTCATGGGGCAGGACATGCTGCACGGACCCCAGTAACTCTGGACTCAGAACCTATAACACCCCATCATAGGGCAGGACACGTTCCAAGGACAACAGCCCCTATGACTCTGGCCCCCGTGGGTTCTGCCACGGGCCAGAAGAGGCTGTACAGACCCCGACCCCTATAGCCCCATACCCTATAAGCTCCAATGCACGGCAGGACACACTCTAAGGGCAACAGCCCCTACAGCCCCAGACCTTATATGCTGTGCCACAGAGCAGGACAAGACCCGCAGACCCTGACCCCTATGCCCCGGCCTCTCTGGGCCCCGTCGTGAGGTCAGGACCCCCCGTCCCCCCCAGCCCCGCACTCACCGTTCCGCACCCCCCCGCCCACCTCCGCCGCCGCCCCAACCTGTTACCTCCGCCACGCACCGCCCCCTGCGCTCCCATTGGGCCGCTCCGCTCCAGGCCCCGCCTTAAGGTGGGGCAAAGCCGTACAAACCACGCCCATAATCACGCCCTCTCTGTCTAGCTCAACTCTGTCTTACTTCCGCCACTTCCAACATGGCGCCCTCCACACTCTCCATCCCACGCCACCCTCAAGATGGCGCCACCCCCCGCCCCTCGCACTACGGTGGCCGGCGGAGGCCAGACTTCCGGCGCGCGTGCGCAGCGCGGCGGCACGGTGACTAAGATGGAGGTCGGGGGAGCGCGCGCACCGCCGCCTTTCTGGGCCGGGGGTCCCTCCCCGGGGGCAGCGTACAGCCCGGGGGGGATCGGGATCGGGGCCGGGCTGCGGCCCTACAGCGTCACCCTGTGAGCGGGGGCGGGCCGGAGATGGGCGTGGGATGGCAGCGGGGCTGCGGGGCGTGCGGGCAGCGATGGCGATGGGAGCACGGGGGGCTGCGGGGTACACGGGGGGCGGGGGGCACCGGCAGGGGAGGCGGCCCTGGGGCTGGAGGGGGGGGCGGTCGGGGCGGCACTGACGTGTGGGTCCGCAGGAGTCCCATGGTGACGGGCACGTCGGTGCTGGCAGTCAAGTTTGAGGGCGGCGTGGTCATCGCGGCGGACATGATGGGCTCCTACGGGTCCCTCGCGCGCTTCCGCGGCATCTCCCGGCTGCTGAGGGTCAACGACAGCACCGTGCTGGGCGCCTCCGGCGACTATGCCGACTTCCAGTACCTGACGCAGGTCATCAACCAGATGGTGTAAGTCCCGCTGCTTCCAGGCACCGCATCTTGAGTTTGAAGGGACTCGCTGGGATCGTCCAGCTCCTTGTCCTTCATTCACTGCTGGCCTGGGGCCACCTCTCCTGGTGTAAGCTCCCGTTTCTAGGCAGCCCACAGGGAGTTGGTGTGAGGTTTTCAAGAGAAGGGTGGATGTGGTTTAGTGGTTACAGACGGCTTCATGGTTGGATTTGGTGATATTGGAGATCTTCTCCAACCCTAATGATTCTGAGTGGTGATGGGTTGGGGCTGCGCCTGATGATCTTGGAGTCTTTTCCAAACTTCATGATTCTATGATTCTATTCTGTGATCCCTTGTCCTGCTCACAGTACGGCTGGAGGTGGGCTGGTGGCTGGCCAGGTGGCTCCCAGGTCCTCTGAGTTGAGCGATTTTTCTCCCTGCTTTAGCATTGATGAGGAACTGCTGGGAGACGGCCACAGTTACAGCCCCAAAGCCATTCATTCCTGGCTGACCAGAGTCATGTACAACCGGAGGTCCAAGATCAACCCACTGTGGAACACTGTTGTTATTGGAGGGTTCTACAACGGTGAGAGGTGAGGACAAGGGACGTGAGACACTGGGAGTGACCCCACCAGCCCAGTTCTGTTGGTTGGGAACATCCTTAGAGTTTCTCTGAAAAGAGGAAGATGTAGGGTTCCCCTGGCTAGGAGCTGTGCGCTGGGTGCCCTCCCCTCGTGCAGCAGTGATGCTCACAGCTCTGTCCTTCAGCTTCCTTGGTTACGTGGACATGCTCGGCGTGGCCTATGAAGCCCCAACGCTCGCTACGGGGTACGGCGCGTACCTGGCGCAGGTTAGTGCTCATAAGTGGGAACGTGGAGCACATTGAAGCAGCAACCTTGGTGCTGGGTGACTTGAGCTGTTGGGTTTGATTACTTTTTTTCAGCCGCTGATGAGAGAAACCTTGGAGAAGAAGCCCAGCCTGACCAAGGAGGAAGCCCGCGACTTGATTGAGCGCTGCATGAAGATTTTGTACTACAGAGACGCTCGGTCCTTCAACAGAGTGAGTGCTGCACGTTGGCTGCAGAGCTTTGTGCTTAATCTCCCATCTCCTCCACAGTGACACCCAGAGCTGAAATCCTGTATCTTTGGGAAGGTTCTCACCAGAGTGAGCCAACTCCACTGTCCATGCAGGACAAAGACAGACATTACTGAATGCAGAGCCACATTAAAGCAAATGAATTGTAAATCATCAGATGTCCCAAGTTGCACAGACCCGTAATACTGAGTTGGACTCAGTGATCATTATTGGCAGTGAATAATGAGGGCTTTCGTAGGGCCCATCATAAATCCAAGTCTGGAGGTCGGTCGTTACTGAAAGCTTCTACTATTTCTTCTCTTCAGTATGAAGTCGCCATTGTAACAGAGAAGGGAGTGGAGGTGGAGGGACCACTGACCCTGGAGGCCAGCTGGGACATCGCACACCTCGTCAGGTAATGGGCAGGCGACAGAGCTCCATGTGCTGTCAGTCTGGCAAAAAGCAAGGGCACAAAGTGGTGAAGGTGTGGGTGGGTGACAGGCGCCCGCTGCAGCTCAGCATCTCTCCCTTATGCTGCAATTGAGGTCTCACCGATTCCCTGCTGCAGCCACATCCTCTCTTGGCCAGGGAATGGCTGGGCAGCAGAGAGCTTCTCGCTGATGGGCCTTCCGAGATTTTGCTCTTTGCACCTCTTCAGCACAAAGCTCTGCTCTGGTTGTGGTGGTGCGCGCGTGGGCCACGTCCCCGTTGTGTCACACCCTGACCCTATAATCACTCTTCTTGCAGTGGCTTCGAGTGATCTCTGCAGAACTGCTTTGTTGCGCCCGTGCTTCTGGGTGATGTACATCAGAAAACACCTTTTGAAGTTCCTGTTTCTTTTGGAGATGAAATAAACCTGTTAAGATGACCTCTGTGTTTGTGCTGTGTCCAGAATAGAAGGTTCTGACTCCTCAAAACACGCCTGTGCTGCAGGAAGGTGTCTGAGAGCTGAGTCCTTTGTTCCTGGGGAAGGGCAGCAAAAACGTTGTTTGTTTGCTGAACGTGTTCTGGTAGGCGTTGTGCTCCACTGAAGACAATTACAGTCCTCCTCCCCTTGGCCGTGCCTTTATCAGACCATCTTGGGTCAAAGTGCTCTTTCACCGCCTCCGTTTAACACCGTGAGCTCATTTCTGCCAAAGGTGACAAAGCTTTTTCCCCCTCTGTGTTGTAGTGGAGGTTTCTGCGTTGCCAGGTGGCGCTGATGGCAGCTGAAGGACTCACTGTGGGACCCGAGTTGGTTCTGGTCCTGGCTGATGCCTGTTCACTTCCCATGTGCTGAATCCTGAGTGAAATGCACAGCTGCTTCACCACTTGCCCTAATTAAAGAGAAATGTACGGGAGCACGAGTTGCTCCGGCAGTGGGGCGTTGCAGCAACCCACTTAGTGCAGCTCGTGCCACATCCTCTGGAAGTGGGAATTTCTCGGCCCCACACCGTTTATGAACGCTACGGGTGGCGTTGCTACCACCGACACGCGCGGCTCCAGCGGCAGAATCCTGCCTCAGGCGTTACGCCGCACTCCAATCTCGGAGCTCTGCTCTGCTCCACGTCCTGAGGCACGGCGGCATCCCAGCGGCTGGGCAGCTCTCCGTAATAAAAACGCGTGTTTATAAATCCATTTCCCTGGTTTTATTAAATGTTCCACGTATGTACATTTTAAAGATGAACCATTTACAGGTCTGCACATGCTGCCTCCTGCTTTCCTTAGGTCATAGGGCAGGTTCACAAAACCTCTATGGAAACAGAAAGGTGCAGGTGCTTCCGAATTCTGTATGTCAAAATGCTTCCGCTTATACCGTAATACATACAATTAAAAAACCCTCAAACATGCAAATTGTAGAAAAATTTAAGCTGGCAGTGAAAAATAAAAACAAACGTCTTCTTTTTGTGCATGTCACAGTTTGTTTCGTTAAATCAGATTTCTAATGCTAAGGAACGTAGTGTCTGATGCCACTGCTTAAAGCACGTTTATCAACTACTCGTCGTTAATCAACGCTTAATGGTCCATACATTTAACTCCCATCTACAGGGGAAGACCAAGGCAGCCTCGGCTTCCCTCCTCCATCTGCACTCTCGGGACTCTTTGGAGCGCGGTGCTGCCGGTGGCTCCCATGGAGGACTGACCCGACCCGACCGCGCAGCAGCGCCGGGGCTCCACAACCATCGCCGGCGTTGCGCAGGCAAAACGCTTCCGCTTGTGCTCGGATCCCGCGTCCCAGCTCACAAGCCAAGGAATTACTCTTTAAAAGAAAACAAAATTAAAAAGAAAGAAAAAGCAAACCAAACCCAACTCGCAAGGGCCAACTGTAGGAGGTTCACACGCTAAAGCAATCGTTCATACCTAAATTCAGCACAGAAACCTAAAGCTCCGGGTCAAGTGTTAAAAAAAAACAACCTGTGTTAAGACATCCAAAAGGTTTATATACCGGTTCGTCAGCTACATCTGTTCTCCTTTCTTTAGAAATGGTCACATTGACAATGTATAATTCAAAACATTTCTGCACAATAAAAACAGAAAACTATGATACAGTGAGGTAAAGAAAACGCAAAAATATTCACCCACAATATATTTTCAGAAAATACCAACACAGTGATTTTTCTTTAAAAAAGCACAAAACTTATAAATGAACAGCATAAATGGCTATTTATCTGAGTGATCGCCTACAAATTTCCTAAACCCACAAATCCACAGGGAAGTGTAATGGTCTCATCCAACATTTATTGAAAAAACAACCCTTTCCAGATCACCAGCTCGCAGATCAGTGCTCAGATTTCCATCAGATCCAACTCGGCGTCTTCGAAGCCGTAAAACGACTCAGTCTCGCTCTCCCCCTCGAAGAGCTGGTGCAGGATCTCGGGGTCGGCGCACTCCTCGTTCTGGGGCTGATCCTCTCCCTCCGCCGCCTCCTGCGGCTGCTGCTCCTCGCCCAACTTCAGCTGCTCCTCCAGCGCCGCGATCAGCTCCTCCTGCATGTCGGCGTTGCGCGTGGCCGAGTTGGCCGTGCCGTCCGGCCCCGGCAGCACGCTGGCCACCAGGAAGGACTGCTGCACGAGTTCAGGAGAGTC